GTAGAGGAGAGCAAGAAGAAGAAGAAGAAGGCAACTGATTTTTTTCGATTCTAATGATGATGATGAATCAGATTATACTTGGTCAAACTTTTTATGGGCCATAGAATTTATATATGATTATTAAGGCTTTCTATAATGAAAGTATATGCAATTAAGTTTTAATCTTTCTACTTAACTCTAGGGTTTCTCACTCTCTTAAGGTTATCAACTTAAACTGTCAGCTACAACTATTAGCTACAAAATCTATCAACTAATATATACACATCTTTGAAAAGCTGAAATAAAAAACAGATAAATGTAATTGAAAATCCAATAGTTTGAGATAAACTTACTTGTAAGAAACCGTCTGATAGTTACATTTCTGTCAAGTTTACTGCATCTGCAGTTTCAACATCAACAATGCAATTCAAACCCTACTTCAACTATTATATTTTATAACAAAGTAAACATTAAACATAAAGGAGATAACAAAATATAACATCTTCAAAATTCCATAAAATCTCTCTGATTTCAGTTTTTTCTTCAATTTCTTGTTCTTCTTCTTTGAATCTTCATACATAACATTCAAATAGCCCATAGCTTCCACAACTTCCAACTCTGACTTCATTTCCACCTTTTTCTCCCATGTCTTCATCCCATATGAACAAATTAAATGTCTCATCACTCCTCCAAAATTGAAATCTCAAAAAAGCCTTCCTTTATTTTTTCCTTTCTTGCATTGCTACAAAACCATACGATCACCACAACCACAGAAATTTCCATATCAAGATTTTACAGAAGAAGAAGACATATATAAACACCTTTGAATGAGTTTTTCTTCAAATGCGACATTAAAATGAAACTAAATAGCAACAATGTCAAAAATATTTTACGTACCTAAAGAAGAATATTGTGTCGGTGTTGTTGTCTTCCTTCCAGATGATGACGACGGTGTTGGTGTTAGGGTTGTTTCGTCTTGTTTCTTTTTCAATAGAAAAATAGATACTGAGTGTTTAATATATATATATATATATATATATATATATATATATATATATATATATATATATATATATATATATATATATATATATATATATATATATATATATATATATATATATATATATATATATATATATATATATATATATATATATATATATATATATATATTTACCATCACGGTCATTACTGTGAACCGTAATGATATATTTTTTGCATAATGAAATTACATAAAGAAGCGTCAGTGTGTACAACGATTTTAGAAAACAATCATAGTGATATCCCTATTATTTTTAATTTAAATATAAATAAAAATGAAAATATGTGCATTAACGTAAAAGGAATAAACTATTTGAGGGTGATGAGGTTCCAAAACATGAAACCTTGATGGTATCACCACAGTATTCTCATCAACCTTTATTATAGCCTTAAAATTTTTAATTAAAAAAAAATGCTAGCACGTGAGTTTAGAAGTGTTACCACGGTGTTTGAAAGAACCGCGGGGACTTTGGCGTTGTTGTATGTGATTTTTGTAGTAGTGGAAGCAAAATTGCACCATTTTAGGGATATGATTTTTATTACCTTGATTGTTATGATTTAAATGTCTTTGAAGGGTTTGTTATACTCAAATCCATGGACCTATATGGAGGCATTTGAAATCAAATGGATTGAAAGATGGATGAAGGTGGTGAATGATAAAATGAATTCATTGATGAAGAACCATACTTCAGGCTTCTAAACTACCTAAGTAGGAAACATGGGTTGGATCCAAGTGGATGCAAGTGTCTAGATTAGGGTTAAAGAATTTATTAGACTTCATCAAGTTTGTTGAATAATGTTACAAGGTTTGAAGAGAGAAGAAAGATAGTAAATGGTTAAATTGACATTGTCATTAGTTTTATAGTTAAGGTAGAGATTTGTAATGTTTGGCTTAAAAATAAATTTAGGAGAATTTGATAAAACACATTGTGCTTGGCATAAAAGTAATAAGTCTAGAACATAGTGCATTCGGGTGGAATACATTGTGTTCTTGCAATTACACGAAAGTCATTAAGGTGAAATCCTAATGAAAGAAACTTAGAGAGGAAAAGGGATGAATTCTTAGGATTAAAGAATCGGAATTGAAAAAAAATTGGAAGTGTATAAAGGGATTAAAAAACAGTTATAAACATATTGAGTTTATGTGATTCATATATTAAGAGTTAGAGAGATTAGGAAACACTTGTATAAATAATATGAGATGTTCTTGGGAAATCTGGAAGGTATTTTTTTGTAACTTGTTTGTAATCTCTAGTAACGGCTATTGAAGTATAGTAAATTGAAGAGTTTCTCTCCCCCTAGAGTAGATTAGTTTGATCTAACTGGATAAACAAATTCTTTTTGTAGTTGTCACTTTATCTTTTTCTTCTTGCTATTATGAATTTGTTAACACTTTTCCGTGTGTATATTAGTTTTTCATGAGGTCATTATGTTAATTTTCATTATTCTTTGTCTCGTACATCAAAGGTCTTGGTGTGAAAGAACTAATTATATCAATTTATTTACGATAGTTGTTATATTAGTATTTCTAATTTATTCAAAATTTAACTCCAACTCCTCCAACTTCTTTAACTATTAGTTCAAATAAATTGAAATATATAAAAATATAAAGAGTCGCTGGAAGCTTTTCTCATTTGGAAAAAAATATAAGAAATATTGTGTAAGAAACAATGTCTAGCCAACATTACTTTGACCATGCATAAAATAACTAAAGAATTTAACTTATAACGGTGAATTCGTGATTAACACAACATTTAATTTTTCATGTTTCCCGCCTTCCTTTTTTGAATATTATTTTCCCTCTTTAGCAAAAATGACTTGCGTGCGTTTCTTTTTTTCATCAGATTCCTTCTTATCTTACTTTATATCTTTTCTTTTAAATAAATAAAAAAGTCATAACTTTTTCTCTTCACTCTGTCTTTATAAAAGGATCTCATCGGTCGATGTAATTCTCTCTCTCACATTAAAAACTTATATATTTTCATCCATATTGTCGTGCTCTCTTCGGGTGGGTCAACATTTTCTTTCTTTCACATAAAGGCTCAATTCGTGCGCAAGCTTTTAGATTCAAAAGGTAAAAAAAACTCAAACTGCTTTCTTATAAGATATGCATCTTGCGAGTCTTTAGTTTTGATTTATTTAGGTTTTATTTTTTATCGTATACATTTTGAAGTATTGTTGTGTTTGACGACCTAGAAATTTTTGTTTTGAAATATTGAAGTTTTTTTACAACATTGAAGGGTCATCTTGGATCAATTTTTATATTGATATTCACATATGCGAAATTCCCCCAAAAAATGTATATTATAAGGTGAAGGCATAAATTCTTAGTTTTTCTCGCACTAAAATACGATTAAGACGGAAATGTTCAACAAATCGGATCCATTTTGCCATTCATATTCTTATTTAAGCCCAACACTTACCCTACAAGCATAAGTATTAAGTAAGAATGATTTAAACACCCTAGTGGTAGTGGTGTCTCTTACCATTAAGAATGTTCAAACGAAAACTGATCCAAATAAAAATTACAAATTGATAAAAAAAATTGAAAATCGCAAAAAATATATTATTTTTGGATTTGTTTTGATGTTATTTTATAAAAAAATTTGTTTGGTTCAGATTAGATTTCACATTGATTTTTCAAAATCGATCTAAACCGAATCGAATCGCATAGAGATAATTTTATATTTTTTTGATTAATATAATATATTGTATTAATTTATTATTTGATAATATCATTTTTTAATACTATTTATTAATTTAGTTTAATTTATTTATTTTTATTATTTTACTTATTTATTTCAATCATAACCGGTCATTTTCATTTTATAATATTAATTTAAAATATATTATATATATTATATCAAATTTATTATTTATTAATATTTTTACTATCTTAATAAAAAATATAATTTATCATTTGAATATCTAAAAATCGATCTAAATTAATTTATATTTTTTTACAAAAACTTAGATTGAGTCAAATCTTTTTAATTAATTATTTAAAATTAAATCAAACAACACATAAATTTATCTTTAAATTAAATAAAATTTTACCGCGAAATTGATCCAAACCAGATCAGAACTACTCCTCAACTATTATGTAAATCCCCCTCTAATGTCTTTAAGGAGTCTAGAGAATCCATAAGTAAATTTATAGGCAAGACAAAAAAAAAAAGCCAAAAGACCAGGTCCATTTATTTTATTTTATTTTTTCATTATGAAGCAGTCAAATTTTTATTTATAAAAAAAAAAAAAGCAGTCAATTGATATTTAATTAACATCCAAAAATTCCACATTTTTTAGTAATTGTCGTCTATCTATTATCCAAATAAGAAAGAAATTTAACTTATTCATTTGATTCCGTAGATGTGAAAGCTAGAATCTCTAAAAGTGGTTTTCCTTTTATTTCATTTTGTTTTTTAGACTTCAATATTTCTAGAACACACGTAACTTTAGAAAATGGTAGTTGGCATATTTTTTTATTTATTATTATTTATAAACAAAAGAGTCTCGTACAAGAATCTAAATTCCAGAAACATTTTTTCATGATTTTATGTTTATATGTTATCACTCTATTGACCTTTCACCTCTCTTTACAAGTTATGGTATTTTTTGTCACTTTTCATAATCTTTGTATTCATGGATTTTGATCAAATCATTAACAAGAGACCTTGTTCTTGTTCATCTTTTCATTCTAGATTCTTTCTTTTTGGTTTTTATTGCTGGGATTGGGAATTCTTAACTGCACTTCTTCTTTTTAGTTTTTCATCCTAAGCTTTTTCAATCCTTTTACCATAATAAACATAAACATACCTTTTTTTTTCTTCTTTTAAAAGGAAAAATAATTATATATAGTTACATAATTTTTTTCTTTCTTTTTTTTTCCTTTTATAAATATACATTAGATTGTTTTTTTATTTGACAAATAAAACAGTGTAGAATTTGTGAGGTGAAGGGTAGATCAAGAAGAAAAAATGTCTCCGACAGCTGCGCCATTTTTGATGAAGACCTATGAGATGGTGGATGATTCTATGACTAACGATGTGATTTGCTGGGGTGAAAATGGCGACAGTTTTATTGTGGTGCAACATGCTGAGTTTTCTAGGGACTTGCTTCCAAAATATTTCAAGCACAACAATTTCTCAAGTTTTGTTCGTCAACTCAATACATATGTAAGTTTCATCTTCTCATATTTTTTATTTTTTATTTTATTATAGTTGAGTTAAATGAGTATAATTAGTTGATTTTTAATATTCCATGACAATAATCAATATATTTAGTATGAAATATAGAACAGATATATTTATTTATTCATTATTAATTGAATTTGATTTTTTTTTTATGTATTAGTGGTTTGAAATATCACTTGAAACTTTCATTTTAAGTATCATGATTTTGAAAATTATTTGAAGTAAAAGAGTTGGTTGTACATTACGTAGGGTGCTTTGAATTTGTTTCTTGTTTGTTGAGGTATCGTTGTTGAAGAAATCTTCTTGAATCATTTTCACACCAAATGTTTGTGCTATTTCTTGGAAATTTACTCCACATGTGTGTACTTTAATAGTATAAATTCTAAAATATAAAAAAAAAATTTTATTAGTTATATGTAGTGGTAAAAATACACGTGTTGCTTAGCACTATAAACATTTTGTTAGGTGGCAAAATTCAAAGAATTTTTATACACCTTTCTCTCTTTTTTGAATTTAATATATATATATATATATATATATATATATATATATATATATATATATATATATATATATATATATATATATATATATATATATATATATATATATATATATATATATATATATATATATATATATATATATATATATATGGTTTTTAAGACATTTATTTATTGTTGAGATAGTATTAGAATATTAAATGTTACTTTTTTTAGTCTATGTATTTTTTTAATAATTATAATATTTGTACATTGTATTTTGTCATAATATTCACAATAAATAAAAAATAATATAAATCATTTCCATAACCATAAAAGAAATAGTTAATGTTATTTTAATTTAACTTTACTTTTTTTTAAAACAAATCTTAAAAAAATTCTAAATCCCTATAATTTTTACAAAGATTATGGTTCTAGATGTTCTAAATAGGTGCAAGTAGAAATTCACTTTTTTTCACTCAATTCTCACATTTTTCTTCTCTAATTCCTTTTCACCAACCTTTTATAATTTTTATTCTTTTTGACAAAGGTTTGAAAATTAAATTGTTTTTATGGAAGAAAAAGTAAGAAAACATCCTCTAGAAAAAATATTTTTAATATAATACGTTGATTTATTCTAGAGTGGATCTTTTCAAATCAAATTAATGGTAAAATAATTACTTCTGACCCATTTTTAATTTTTTAATATTGTTTACTCTTTCCTTTCTAAATGACTTTATAAAATTGTCAAATATTCTTATTTATCTATTGTATTATTTTAATATGTACATGGTGGTTTTGACTGTAATAAATGAATTAACTTAGATGATATTGAAAAAATTTGAATGTCAAATTGTACGGTAGTTGATTTAAAATATAAGTATAAAATTTTAGTCTTGTTCTTTTTAATAAAATAATTGTAGTCTTGTTTGACTGAATTATTCAATTTATAAAAGCAATATTTTTTATTATACATTGAGTTTGTAATTTGTTAACTAATGTTTGATAAAGAAAAATAGTCACTTCTATATTTTGACTGTAATAAATACAAATATAAATACAAATACTTTATTTTTTGAATAATTTTATTTTTTTATGAATTAATTAAAAGTTGAATTGATTACAAAGGTCAAATTGATGTATATAACTCTTTATGGATAAGATTGGTTGAATAAATTATTGATTCTTTTTAAATGGGCATGAGATTCTAAAAAATATATTCTCTTGTATTTAAAAAAAATATTATTTAAATTCATTAAATAATTTAATCTATTATTTTATATTGATTAGATATATTAATTATTAAATAAATTTTAAAAATATTTTTATAAAAAAATTAAAATTAGAGATAGTATATGATGTCTTCACTTTAAAATATTTGTTTGATATTTTTAACATGTGTCGTATTAATGTGATTTAAATTGTAGATATCGATTTGTATTAGATATTGTGACATTCTTACTCTTTCTGAGTTGTTCGAGTTTTTAGTTATTAAATGATAAGAAAATGTGAAATTTATTAAAGAAAGATGTTGTTTTGAATGTGTTGTTAACTTTTAAATCAATTTTTTCAGGGATTTCGAAAAATTGTTTCTGACAAATGGGAATTCGCCAACGAGAATTTCAAGCAAGGGCGGAAAGAGCTACTGCCAGCAATCAAGCGTCGGAAGAGTCAATCATATGTAGCCATAGGATCCGTTGGTGTCCATGGAAATTCAGCATCGAATTCCGGTCCCAATGACATGGACTCGACCTTGACAGGATTAGGATCAATGGAACGAAATATTCATCGCGCTAATTTATCAATGGAAAACGAGAACCTGAAGAAGGACAACGAGAAACTTAAGTGTCAATTGGCTCTCAAGAAGAAACAATGCGACCAACTAATCGCATTTCTTCGTGACAATGTCAATATTGGGCCTGATCAGATTAACTGTGTCATTAGGCAAGGAACGAGCGGGTCCAGTCTTGATGCGGAGCGTGCTGATGATGGTGTTGTAGGTGATGAAGGGAAATGTAAGGGTGAAGAGGGTGTGAAGCTGTTTGGAGTTTGGATGAAGGGTGGTGGAGAAGGGAAAAACAAAGTGAAGACTGAAAATGGTCAGGGAAAGTGTCGCAAGAGGGGACATGAAGAGGAAATTGGTGGTGAAAACAAGGAGTTACAGATTGATATTTAGGACACATCATAAGGATGTTACAATAGTTTTAAGAAATTTAATTTGAATAATGGATGAATATTATGTGTATGAATAATGGTTAGTTGTTAGTTGGTTACTTTGTAGTTTAGATTTGGTGATGCACAGTGGTTTTGGTTGGTTATACATTTTCAAAATGTATGACTTTTATAAAACCATAATTAGACAAGTTTCAAGGATATGTTTTGCAGTAATTATTCATTTAGTTATTGTTTATTTTATAATAATGAGAAATTTTAAAAGTGTGATTTGGTGGGATATACGTTTATGATTGGTTAAGAGGGAAAATTGATATATACTTTTTTTCCTCTAAAACTAATATAATTCTTTGCCTTAACAATGAATTTTCACTCGATCAATGATATGTTTGATGACTAATCTTCGGGACTGAATAGTTTGTTTTTTCTTCATACCACTAAATTCAAGTGAAAATCAACCAAATTTCATAAAAGTTATCTCAAAATTTCTTTGTATAAACAATGAGCACATAATTGACGAGCATGAATAACAATATTGTAGGATATATCATTGAAGATACTAAGCTAATTTAAAGTTACGCTCCATGCACTTCCGAAGAAGTTACAATCAAAAGATTAGTTACAAGAGTTATTTTCAACCCCACAACCATAAAGACAAAAAGATGAATCTGTAATTATGATGTCATGATAAATCAAGTTATGTTTGTGACAGGTTTTTTTTAATCAACCGTCAACAGTTTTAGAGGGACTGTCTTATTCCAAATTGTTGTGAGAAAAATATTAATTCAAAGGTTGTAATTGATTATCGCATATCTGTAATCAGTTATATTGTGTTGAAATGTCAAAAGTTAAAGAATAAAATGTTATGTTTGAGGGTGTAATTGTTACACATTCGCACTAACTGATTTTTACTATTTTGTACATCCTTCATCCCAAAATAATTGTCACATTTAAAACAATACTTATCATTTTACATTATCAATGAAGTTTTATTTTTAATCTTCTAATTATATCATTTAATAAATACTTTTACATTATTGTTTTCTCACTTAATATTAATACCAATTTGAATACACAAATAGTTGATAATGATAATTTAGTAAGTTATTATTCTCTCTTTTTTATTACATTTTTTTTATGTGTGTGAAAGTGTCAACTATGACAACTATTTAGGGACGGAGAGAGTAATTATTTTGTTGAAACAACTGTAATCGGTTACATGTTTGGCATAATCGATAACAGACAATTATTTTTAATTTTTTTAGTTTGGTTACGTGTAACACCCTATTTTCAAATAATTAATTTAATCGATTTAATTAAGTAGAAGATAACTCTTGAAGCTATTTCTTTAGTTTATCATTTTGACTAATGGTGTCTTGCTCTGATCATATAACATTGGATTGGGTAAAACACTTGATTTGATTCTTATGTCGTTTATGTTGGAGTTAAAGACCATTATGTTTTGTTGAGATTTCTAAGTTGTTTTGAGTTGACTGTACAATTCCTTTTGCTTATCTTATGAAGTTAACGTTTATAAGACTAAATGTCATGAGTTGCAATATTGTTGATATTTTCTTTAATAATGATTTTATTATGATGATAACTTAAAGATTGGTGTGAGCATCGAATTATGATGATCAACATAGAGATTGTAGAGAACATCTTGAGCTTTCCAAAAAGTCCAAGATCATCTTCAAAAGGTGAAAATTGAGCAAGTTATGAGTTGCAGAATTTGGGAGATTTTGAAGAAATTCATGAAATGCAAATTGAGCAAAATTCCGAATCTGAATCTATAGACCTAGTTTTTTATGTTCAAGCACACTCATAACACCTTAGAAGACCTCTAAGTCCATTTATACATGGCTTTGATTTTTATTTATATTTACCTTGATTTTATTTAATTTAAAACAAAATAAATTAAATAAAATCACAAGAGAACATGGGCTAATGCATGTGAGCTTGATTTGATCAACTATGAGGCCCAAAAATTCGTGCAAGACACACACAAATTGTCCAGGTTCATTGCAATCTCAAATTGGCAAGAATATTATAAATATGGCTAGTTTTCAAAAATGATTTTTGTCTTTAAACCATGTTTTAATGGTTTGATTCATTGCCATGTTAGTAAGCCATTCACTCTCTCTATAAATACTCAAGCAATGCAAGTTCAAAGGACACAAAATTCTTGCATACGAAAGCCTTCTCAAAATTCTCCAAAAAATCAAAGAGTTGGTGAAAATCATATCTCACTTTCCATCCAATATATATCTAAACTAGTGATCAAACATCACCCCTGAGGTTCCCAGTGAAGGAAAATTGCGAACAAAACGCAGCGGAATATAAAATTTTTCCTTTAGCGATCCTTACGAATGAGCATGGTCAGTGATAGAAATATTTACCTCTTGTGGCGATTCAGAACTTTGATGTTGTGATCACGAGCGTTGATGAAGAACAACGCCTCTACTCAGTCCACACGAACAGATCGCTTCCGGTCACAGTGCTAGCTGATCACGAACGGAAACCTTGAGTGAGAGTGAGAGAGTCAAAAACGAAAATGCATCAAGTGAAATTGCTTCATCACAAGGGATCTATTTATAGAATCACTCGTGTGGGCTACAAGCTAAAAGCCCAATTAAGGCTATAAGCTAAAAGCCCAATTAAGCTTATGGACATCATACCTTATGATGTACCATATATCACTTATCCACGTGGTACCTTACCACTTTCCGTATTACACTTAAGTGCACTGTATCTTACGGTGTTCCTTATTTATTCTATCTCTTATCAACCTGTCCTTATGTGTGTGACCCTGTAGGTTTTCGCGACGTTGGCAATTATATTAAATCACACATTTAATATAATAAACAGTGAGCGGTATCTAGCAACACATCACTGTTACCCAAGTCACGAAAATGTCATGTGATCTGACCAAACCTTTTCCGTGATAATATTTGTGTTGTACAATTACCCTTTTGCCCTCATGTCTATATTGAACACAAGGCATACACTGTGTCACCCTTGTCCAGTTCAATATTGGGCCCTTAGACATTTATCCTGTTATGCAGGATGAGCAAATTCCATCTAAGTCACTCATGTCCCTTAGCATGCTTTGTGAAGTACCCATCAACCATCTTTATAGTCATCCAGTTACGGATGACGTTTGATCAGCAATAAAGTACTTGACTCTACATCTAGGGTCCATAGTGGTTTCAGGTCGAAGGGTGGTATACACCATTATCATCATGAGAATAACTTATGACACTTTGCATAACATTCTATGTAGTATTCTCATAACGGGTCAATCCAGTATAAATATTACTCCTAATATTCATACCTATGTCAAGACTTGATAACTCCTTATCTATGATCCATGAGATGTGATCATCAATCTATCTTCATAATAATCTTAATGCTTTAATGTTATCCCACTTCACATTAAAGCTTGACTACGGATACTTTAAGAATAGTTTCTTATGTTTAATGGGATCTCATGATTAAGTCACACTTAACATTTCATTAAACCAATAACCATTCTAGGGACTTTATTATTTTGGAAAGCAAACATAATAAAGAAATGCCTTTTATTATTAATAAATAATTCGATACAAGTACCAAAAGTATTGGCCTCTAGGGCTTACACCAACAATCTCCCACTAGCACTAGAGCCAATCAGGCATACCCCTAATACCCATAGATCTAGTATGTCCATCATGCTTCAGCTGCGCAAGAGGCTTTGTTAATGGGTCAGCAACATTGTCAAGTGTAGGTACTCTGCATATTTTCACATCTCCCCGATCGATTATCTCTCGAATGAGATGATAACGCCTAAGTATGTGTTTGGATCGTTGGTGAGATCTAGGCTCCTTAGCTTGTGCGATAGCACCATTGTTATCACAATAGAGATCAATGGGATCCACAATGCTATGGACTAGGCCAAGTTCACTAATGAACTTCTTGATCCAAACAGCTTCCTTTGCTGCAGTTGAGGCAGCAATATACTCAGCCTCGGTTGTAGAATCAACAACTGTATCTTGCTTTGAACTTTTCCAGCTCACAGCGCCACCATTTAAACAAAACACATAACCAGATTGTGATCTAAAGTCATCCTTATCTGTCTGGAAGCTAGCATCAGTGTATCCAATTACAGCAAGCTCTTCCTGACCTCCATATATCAAGAATGAATCCTTAGTCCTTCTCAAGTACTTAAGGATATTCTTGACATCTACCCAATGAGCATCACCGGGATTAGACTGGTACCTACTCGTTGCACTTAAAGAATACGAGACATCTGGTCAAGTATATAGCATGGCATACATGATAGATCCTATTGCAGATGCATATGGAATCTTATCCATGCGATCCCTTTCTTCCTTACTTGAAGGGGATTGTGTTTTTGACAGACACATGCCATGTTGCATAGGTATGAATCCTTTCTTGGAATCATGCATATTAAAGCGTCTCAACACTTTTTCTATGTATGTACTCTGACTTAGGCCAAGCAGTTTTTGTGACCTATCTCTATAGATCCTGATTCCTAATATATAGGCTGCTTCACCTAGGTCCTTCATTGAAAAGCATTTCCCTAACCAAGTCTTCACTTGTTGCAAGGTAGGGACATCGTTTCCAATGAGTAATATGTCATCTACATATAACACCAGGAATACGATCATGCTCCCACTAACCTTCTTGTAGACACAAGGCTCATCTTCATTCTTGATGAATCCATATTGTTTTACTGTTTCATCAAAACGAAGATTCCAGCTTCTGGAAGCTTGCTTCAATCCATAAATTGATCGCTGTAACTTACATATCTTTTGGGCTTCCTCTGGTATGTCAAATCCTTCAGGTTGTGTCATGTACACATCCTCAAGAAGATTCCCATTAAGGAAAGCAGTTTTGACATCCATCTGCCATATTTCATAATCATGATATGCAGCGATAGCAAGTAAAATCCGAACAGATTTAAGCATTGCAACTGGTGAAAAGGTTTCATCATAGTCAACC